AAAATGAATCGTCATCAGCAGACGAAATACTGTAGAATACCACAAACAAATTATGGGGCGCCAGATATATTCGTTGTTCATAGCGTGTTTGATGTGTTTGACTTTAGAGTGATACGAGATATTCGATTTGTGCGTTGCTAGAATAAACTCACACAATACAAACATTAAAACATGTTTGACCCACACACTCACACACACACACCCTATCTCTCTTTATCGCTCTCTCTCTCTGTCTCTCTCGCACACACACAAACACACACACACACACACACAACGAGCAGAGTTTTCTGACTATTAATTTATCTCCACATCTATCATCGACAGTTCACACATTCAGCACATCTCTGCTTCTGCTCTTGTAAAAACAAAAACAACAGAAATATCTATATGTACTTGCTTCAACATCGCCATTCTGGATTGCCTGAAATCCTCAAAGTTTGACATGTCACAGTGTCTGTGCTTCGCTTTTATCACCACTTGGAGTAACTGTTTGAAGTCAGTTCAGATTATTATCTATGTACTTCTGAAACGTCTGGGTCCCGGCGGAACCGAACTTTCTTCGAAAATCACCTTGGCTCCCAGGTCGACCTGAGTTATTACCAGGTGAAGTCGTGGGAAGTAAAGGCGGCTGACGTGATACTGACCACATAACACACTAAGTGCCGATCGGTCTATAAAATATAAGTCTAGCCCTATATACCCAATACACCTGAAGATGTGGAAAAGGGCCTTTTACTTTATTTGTACTCCTGTCACGTTCATGGGTGTTCTAATGAGCTCTACATGAAATCCATCGGCGTTAAACGAAAAGCCATTTCGGTTCCTTGTTGATTCCTTGTACACTTGGTTGGTTGATCGTTCCTAGAACCACAGACCTTCAGTTAAAATACATGTGCAGTGGTACCTCAACTAACGAACTTAATTCGTTTCTTACTCAAAAGTTCGTGTCTCGAAACCCAATTCAACATTATACCTTACATGAAATCAAATTATCCGTTCTCAAATTAGGAGATTTAAAAGAACAGTTCATATGTAGAGTGTTTCGCAAATCGGGGCACCACGGATGTATTCTGTCTAATCGTTGTATTTATTAAAAGGGAAGTAATCGTTTTGCACTTAGTAGTAGTAGTAGTAGTAGTAGTAGTAGTAGTAGTAGTAGTAGTAGTAGTAGTAGTAGTAGTAGTAGTAGTAGTAGTAGTAGTAGTAGTAGTAGTAGTAGTAGTAGTAGTAGTAGTAGTAGCAGCAGTAACAGTAGTAGTAGTAGTAGATTTTACCGGACTAAAACATCACACAAGCAATAAACACTCTATGACACAAAGTGCCACTGGGTGGATGAGGATCACCCCTGGAGAGGTCCCAGAAACCGCATTCAGTCATTAAACCATATTTATGGCCAGGCTATATTGCGGCCCCTGACTGTTTACTAACATGATGTATGTTCAATGCGCTGGCTGACAGTGTGATAAAGTGGCTATGCCGACCAGTCTTTTCAACCTTTCATTGCCCACAACACCCACATAGTCTTGCAGAAAGATAAAGTTTACTTTGACAATTGTTTTACTCTGCAGGGTTTCAATCCATATCCGCTCGAGTAACCCGGCTCGGGCTTCCATGTTATTCTGCAAGCCGACGTGTAGTTTTTGCATAGTTCCACGTAAAGACATTGTCACTGAGGGCATTTACGTTGTTGCACTGTGTTGTGACTCTAGAGACTTCGCTACTGGCTTCCTTGACACTGCTACAACGTGAGCGTGAAGAGAAGACACACATTTGCTGTTGATGCCGACCAATCAAACAGTGTTTATGTGTCAACACCTTCGGTCCTTTATTGTCATTTACAGCGGGCTGCGTGGTCTCGAGGGATGGCGTCCGCCTCGAATGCTAGGGGTTCCAGGTTGAATCCCCGGTAAGGGCTGGGATTTTTTCACGCGGACTTGGACTTCTAGTAGTTCCCCTGGTCTCTGGGTAGTGAGATCGGACGCCCGTGTGCATTGTTGGGCACGTAAAAAAAACCTTTTGCAGGTTTAAATCGAAAAAAGTAGCTTAACTACGCTGTCCGGGTAACATTTTGAGGTAAAAATCTACCTAAGTATTTCAGAACCCTTGCCGGTGCTACAGAGCCTGTGCACTGTGCAGAGCTTCTTGGACTCAGACTTGAGTTAGAAAAAGAACAGAGAACTTATAGGTTTGTACCCATGTGCCATGATGTTGATCCGTTGTTTAAACTTCAAACTATTGTCATTTACATGGATCGGATTCTTTCGATTATTACACAGCATTTAGTAAACACAAACGTGGTGAATGTGAGACATGAATGACATGGTGTCCTTCTCTGCTTAGACTATAGATTTGTCAGGTGATGCTCTAGTTTGACGGCGTCTTCAGCATTCAGCAATCGGTGCCTTTGTCTTCTTTGTGATGAGCGCTTCATGTAGTTGTGTTATATTGTTTCTCGACGTGTCCTCTCTTGAGTGTCTAGAATAACGAAGCATATGGCCAGGGACATTTAGCATTAAAACGTTAACGCTATACAACATGATCCATCTGTTGACGTCGATGGGAACAATAGAAAAACCAGCAGCAATATTAATATTACTGTGCAATGGAAACTATCAATCTGAAATTATAAATATATATCAAATTTAAAGATGCTGTTTATTATGTAATTAATTCTCTGAATGAATACGTGAATTCTCTTTTCTGCCTACACATCTGTCAGTCACTAACCCTAAGAAATTGTAGTCATGTTGTGTGTTTGTCTCCCCTCCTCCTTTCCACGCGGGATGGCTGTCGTCAAGAAATAACAGTAAGTAACTGTAAGTCAATCCTTCGGTGCTTGTTTACATTTAGATGCAGCAAATGCTGCAGCCAATTTAGTCGAATGTCCTTTGTTGTCTTGTTAGTTACCATCAGTCCTCACTTCTTAGCGAATCTATTATAACATCCACACAATTCCCCAAGGCGTGGTGGCTGCTGATCAGAAAGCATCTTGCTCAGATGTTGTCTCGCGTGTTGCCTGTCTGAGCTCTCTGTCTGTCATACTTGTAGTGTATCTGATCGAGCTCATTGAAAGATCTCGATATCTTTTATAATCTCTCAAAGATCTTTATTTTTTATATTTATTTTAGTCTGGCAGGAAATGTATAAAATTAATTGAATCCAGTGAGTCTCAAAACACACGTCTAGATGTCTAATTTTCTGATTTGTATGTGTTGATACGTGGAACTACACATAGTTGCGAATAAAACCTGCATACTTCGGGACGATTCTCCACCATTTTACATAAAACATAATGTTTATTGGCTCCGCAGACGTAATATTATATCATCGTCTAAAATTATGATCTTATCAATACAATGTTATATACCCATACTTCCCGAATATTTCCTGGCACCCTTTGAGGATTGGGCCTGCGTGAGAGAGATGGGTACTGTTTGATAAAATCCAGACATCTAACACAGGACAAACTGGCAAGCATCTAACCACCCAGAGTTACAGCGTTGACTAAGTTGTTAATTAAAAGAAGCTTTACATGTAATAGTGATGAGTGTAGCTGGTAGAAATAACGATTCAGAACCCAAGCCTATGAGTTGCTGTAGCTTAGATGGTAGCCTGCCATGCTAAAATCTTGGGTTTTATTGCGCATCCAGTGGGTTTAATTCCAAAAATTGACTTCGGTTTCCAGATCGAACAAGTCTAAAATGTGTAGCGGGTAATGTCCGTGGAAGTCAAGATAGCCGGCGGGATGTTGACCACATCGTCCATCGCGTGTCAGTTTATCACCAAAATATGTCTTCCGTCGGTATCCGATGTGTCAACGGCGTAAAATCAGACCCTTTACTCAATAAATAAATGTGCCGGCGAGTATTAGAGGAGTCTGTCTATCATGGCAACTGTATAACTCAAGTAGGCAGAGTAGTCCTGGGTTCAAGTTTTTTCCCAATACTGATGTTCTTGTAACTGTCGGACCTGACGCTCAACGGAGCCATTAAACAAACACAGATGAAACCAGGTTTCGTTTGATTTACACGAAAAAAAAAAAAAAACCAGCGTTGGTTTTTACCACTACGTGTAAATAACAAACAAAAAAAGTATCGATAATCACACAGTGTCACTTACAGTGGTGCTGAAAGGCATGATTCCTAAAGAAACGTACCGATACTGCGTACTGCTGCGTACCGTCGCTGGGGGGGGGGGGGGTCAGAAAAGGGGGGGGGGGGGCAAAGAGGAACAACTATAAGTAAAAATTTTTTAATTATTACTTTTTTTTATGGTCAGGATCAAAAATAAAATTCAAACCTCAACAGTCCACTGCGACAGCATGGGAGATTCGGCCCTAAATCCACAGCTCAAAAACCTCCTGGCTTACTTCAGAACATGTGTAAATACAGTTAGTAATGGTCAACAGCAAAATCGTAGATTTACATAAAGAGTGGCATCGGCATCCTCTGTGCCATGTGGCAAGCATCGCTTCAGATATCTCCAGGATTTGGCACTCTGTGAATTTTTTTGTCTATGGGTAGGTGTATTGGGAAACGAATAGACAGACGAACTGGCTGGTACTGCTGGTGGTGAATGGATGCACGATAAACTAGATGTGGTCAATGCTCACTAAGTGCATGTGAACAATGTGGAATCGCGAACAGATCACGGTGTGGAGAGAATGCTATAACAGGGGGTGACCAGGGAATCTGGTCGACACTCTGCCCCCGAAGGAAAGACACGATGGACAAATACCCAGACTGCTACAGATACCATTAACACTTGCACTTTTCACAGGCTGTCCCCGTGGCGGAGCAGCTAGACGCTGGCTGCGGATCGGAAGATCGTGAGTTCGCTCCCTGGAGGAGACGGACTTTTTTCAAAAATGACCTTGACCCCCAGGTCGACCCAGCCTTAAGTGGGTACCGGGTACAGTCTCGGGAAGCTGAGGCGGCCAGCGTGATGCTGACCACTCACCTATCTTGTGGCGATTGGTCTTTAAAAATATAGGTCTAGCCCTATATTCCCTTTACGCCCTAAGGCGTTAAAAAGGGTCCTTTACTTTTTTTAAAAACTTTTTTTCACAGGCTGCTGAAGATGAGGGTGGAGCACATATGGATATTTTCAGCATGCTGTGATGTCGGTTTTGTTCGGTCGTTTGTGGTTATGCTGGTTGGGCTGCTGGTTGTGTAGAATGATGTTGAAGAAGATTCTCGCTTGTTGTAAGACTTGAATAAATGGGGTCTGGTCATGGCTACAAGAAGAGCCATACCTGCCGAGAAATCTCCACATGCAGTAAAGAGAGATGCAATGGTCAATAAAAATTGTCCGGAATGTATCCCCAACTCTGCTTCTTCTCGGTTTAGAGGTGGATGAACATCATGGCACAAGGGAAGTAACCCATAAGTGCTTCGTTCTACTTCTGACTCGGGCCTGAGTCCGAAGATTCCCAGCGCGGTGCACGAACTCCGTAGCACCGGCGAGGATCCTGAAATACTTTGGGTACATTTGTAACTCCAGTTTTTGCCTGGACTGCACCGCTAAACTACTCTTCTTCTATTTCCGACTGCCAGGAGATGTTTTACGTGTGCAACAATACATACAGGCGTCCAAAGTTACTACCCAGAAACCAGAGGAAATTGCTAGGTGCAAGTGAAAAAATCCCAGCATTCACCAGGGCTTGAACTGAGACTTCCAGCACGCGAGGCCTCGAGACCACGCAGCCAGCCGAACAAATGGTGATGTGTTACATATAAGGAGAACTGTGCTGTCTACTGATATGAATGCTTATATGATCACTTTACAAATAAAACATCAAATAAATGAAAGACGCCGATGAGGATACTAGGTTCCCCAATCTGTTGACAGGTTATTTTTGTTGTTGTGAATGCTGATGTCAAACAGATAATAAGGACTTTGTGGTCTACTGACATGAATGTTAATATGATCACTTTACTAATGTCAAACAGATAAGGAGGACTGTGCTGTCTACTGATATAAATGCTTATATGATCACTTTAGAAATAAAACATCAAATAAATGAAAGACGCCGATGAGGATACTAGGCTCCCTAATCTGTTGACGGGTTTTGTTTTGTTTGTTTGTTGTTGTTGTTGTGAATGCTGATGTCAAACAGATAAGGAAGACTTTGTGGTCTACTGATATGAATGCTAATATGATTACTTTACTAATGTCAAACAGATAATGAGGACTTGGCTGTCTTCTGACATGAATGCTAATACGACGGAATTCGCTAACGAAACATATAATTAGACTCTCCGATGATGGTACTAGGCACTCCAATCTAAATCTGCAGCAATCTCCTTTTCTGAATGCTGATGTATAACACTTTATTATTTCCACGAAAAAATGCATTACCATATTTGTTATTTAACTGCCCTTTCACATCTTCTTCTGTTTGCTCCAGTGCTATGTTCATGTAGCCATCCAGACATGATAATACGCCTTTTTAATCAACCCTAGAGTGCAACTTCACCATGAGTGGTCTACCTCTGATTTGGTTTAGACACTCACTAGGTGTTTGTCGATGACTCATGCTTTTTGTTGATTAACTTCGTGTACTGATGGACAATGTTTCGCCGGAAGAAGTTCTTCTTCGTTCACTGGAAGTAAGCTACGGCGGAAAATCCTGGTTGTTCCTTGATTTGGTCTTTGGCTTTGTGCCAGGGCCTGAGTTTTGTGGGGGATCCATTTCACTGGCTGATTTATGTGCAGTGAGTTGTTTCTTGCCGCCCTGGCATATGTACTCCAACTTCGAAGGAAATCCCTAATTAGTCGACTCCTACGACATGTTTGCTGGGGAGTCAGTGGAT